TTATGAAATAGTAAATTCAATTTTTATTTAACATAAACAAAATCTGAATAAAAAGATATAAAATAATTTTTTTATTATATTTTAACCCAATTATATATTTTAATAAAATACAATGTTCTTTAAAATCTCTAAAATTTTGTATAATAATTATGTGTAAATTAATTTCTCTCTAATTTTTGATCAATATGCACAATTACAAGACCATAGTAAAATCATTCTTCATTTAATTGTGAAACCTAGTTGAGATTATTATCGATCTTCTACAGAAATTTCAAATTCGAAATAACTAGAAATATTTTTGGGTTGCAATATTTTGTCTTTTATATCTAATCATGTTTTATTAAGTTATAGACTATTGTTACTAAAAAAAATGGTAAACGAAAATTAAAAATTGATCTTAAAAACTAACAAATATTGTGGTAGACAAAGATAAGTATTGTTTTTAGGTCAATATACAGATAGATCAGGATAATTACATCTAATTTATTAAATCAAAAAATAAAACATTTATTTTAGAAGGTTAGTGAACCACTAATTTAAAAAAAAAAAAAAAGATTAGAACCATTATTAAAATTTTCAAAAATTAAGAGAGGCAAATATAATGTATTAAATAATTTTATAGCTCCTTATCAAAAGTAATCTAAAAGTGAGGGAGGTGAAAGTGCNTACTAAAAAAAATGGTAAACGAAAATTAAAAATTGATCTTAAAAACTAACAAATATTGTGGTAGACAAAGATAAGTATTGTTTTTAGGTCAATATACAAATAGATCAGGATAATTACATCTGATTTATTAAATTAAAAAATAAAACATTTATTTTAGAAAGTTAGTGAACCACTAATTTAAAAAAAAAAAAAAGATTAGAACCATTATTAAAATTTTCAAAAATTAAGAGAGGCAAATATAATGTATTAAATAATTTTATAGCTCCTTATCAAAAGTAATCTAAAAGTGAGGGAGGTGAAAGTGCNTTTTCAAAAATTAAGAGAGGCAAATATAATGTATTAAATAATTTTATAGCTCCTTATCAAAAGTAATCCAAAAGTGAGGGAGGTGAAAGTGCTAATCTAAACACTTATAGCCTTGATCCTGAGATTTTTCATCAAAACTCTATTTAGGTATAATCTATTCCAAANTAAAAGTGAGGGAGGTGAAAGTGTCCACCTTGGTCCCCATGTGACTCCGCCACTGTCGAAATTGATATAGAAATGGTTATGCCGACGAAGTTTTGTGAGTTGAGGTGAGGAATTAATATTAATGTTGACAAACTTTTTGGCCAAAATAAACATTTTTTGAGTTAAGTAACAACAAAATGGATTTATTTCCAATCAATCCTAAATAAGTTGGGATCGATCCTAATCTAAACACTTTTAGCCTTGATCCTGAGATTTTTCATCAAAACTCTATTTAGGTATAATCTATTCCAAAAATATTGTAAAAGTGAGAGCAGCTAGTATGATACTTCATGAACACTATGGCATGTTTCTAATTGTTGATAGTAAGATAACCCAACCATAACATCTTAGAATTTAGTTTTAAATTTGAAAATCACTACAACATCAAAAATAAAATAAACCTCATGAACACTAAATTCAGGGAGGAGTTTGTTTCTGTACCGTCCAATCCTGCATTGGCAGGATAGAGAAGAAAATTATTGCCATCAGAACCGAGAACCGGAAGGCGACGTTCGCGAGCATACAATTTTAGGGCTGTATCGATAACCACGGTAACAATATCATCCTCATTCACGACAAACTTTATTGGTCCAGCACTGCCAAGAACGTTAACAGTAATCAATAACCGATTGTTGGCACTTTGATTCTCACCATTGTTCTTCTTTTTCTGCTTCTGTGACAGCATTTTCTCAGAAAGACTTCTCTTAGTCTTCACCTCTGCATTACTGATCTTATTAGCGTTTTGCCTTGTACCCATTTGAAAGAATGCCTCAACGAGATTGGTGAAGACAAAACAAAGACTAGTTGCAAAGATTAGAAAGAAAAATAGATTTGGGTTTAAGGGTCGAGGCCGATGCAGCGATAATACCAGGCATCTTTGCAGGAACCGAAGGATGAAGAAAGGGTTGGAAGGAGAAAAGAAAGCATCAAACGACGGGAGATTTCAACCATTCAAGACGTGCTTTGAATTTGGCTCAGCGGAAGGAAGAGTCAGGAGAGAATAAGAGGACAGTGGTTTTCAGGGTTTGAGTTTGCATATGTTGTGGGTGTTTTAGGGTTACATGGGACTTATATTCAAAGACAGGCATGAGCAGTTTCGTCAGCTTCTTGCTTCTAGGGTAGGTCGTGTTCGTCATTACTATTATTTGGAGCATGGTATGGAAACAAAATAAATAAATAAATTCTATTTTTTCTTTCTACTTGTAACCAGATTCCAAATGCTTGTATAGTAAACCACAACAATTAAAAATTTAATTGTAGCCAAGTCAACTTTCTATTGGTTATGTTATGCCATTTTTTTGTCTTTGACACACAATACAATACAAAGTCATAGGATGAGGTGGCTGAGATTGTAATCCAAGTTGAATCCGAAACTTAATCTATCACAAAATATAGTCTAAACTTAAAATTGCTAAAGTCGGGGTACATAATTTGATTTAAAATTTGAATTCAACTTGAGTTTGATTATCATATTGTATAATTTCAATTACAGTTCACGCTCAATACAATTAAACCTAAAATTGGGTTCAAGTTAGATTACGAAAATCCACATAATCCAAAACCCCATGTCAAGTACAACTCAAATTTAAATTGTTCATCGTTCAAATTTTGTTGCCCAATTCAAACTCAAATTTTGAAAATCTTTGTTCAAATTCTCAACATATCATATTGATTCCATAGTTAAGCATCCAATAGCACCCCTACACAAATTGTGTACACCTTTTTAAACTAATTCGTCTTATAATTGTATTGTACTTGTCCCATTTCATTTTATGGTTCACTTTTTAAAATTCACAACATGACTACTGGTCTTAGAATATAATTTAAGAAGGCCACAACTACGAATCACAAAACGAGAAAAGACTGCATAATGCATCTAATTCGACTTTTTTGCATGAGTTGGCAATGGGATCCATTTTTTTTTTTTTTGTATCATTCCTTCATTTATCACATTTGTAATTACTTTTAGCAAATTTATTTTTACCACTCTTGTCGTACCAAAAAAAATGATAAAAATAGCTATTACAACAGTGATAAAACATCTACACATGTAATAAAAATATCCATAAATATAATAAATCACTCAAAAATGTGGTAAAAAAAATTTGGTTGTAATAACATCTATTAAAATAATAAAAGTTAGAGGTACCATACGGGAAAAAAAAAAAAAAAGGGCACCATAGTCAAGTCAAGTCTCTTTTTGCAATGCTAAAAATCATATTGGTACGTCACATCTCAAAATTGGGAAAGTAAAAAATTTTAAAATTATTATTTTTTACTCTTGAAGATTATTTTTTTCTAATTACACCATCAATGTCTTAAAATAATTATAATGTAATCCTCACACTAACTTCCCTTACTATTTCCATCAAATCCTGTTACATGTGAAGCACATGAATTTGACAGAAATAATAACAAAAGCTAGTGAGAATGCCATATTAGATCTAAAAATTGTGACAGGTTAAATAAATTCGGGTCGAGTTTTAGCAGCATCATGTCAAAAATTACTCAACCCGTCAAAAATCACTCATTCATTTTATAACATTAAGGGTGCAATATGAGAAAATTAATTTGAGAGTTTAAATTAAGAATTTTAAGATCTTCGGGGTGTAAAGTGTGATTTGCCCCTCAAAATTAAGAAAAAAGTGAGATTTATTTGTTTATAAATCATTTCTCATTTTTTAATTCTTTCTGCCCCTCTCTTTATTGAGAGTTTTTTCTAACAATATTTCCTTTGAATTTGTCCACATAACAAAATGATTTTTTTAATAAACGGGATAAACGAAAAAGTTGACTATTATAGGCAAGTTAAAAGGAGAAGTATCAATCCCTAATTAGGAAGTTGCAGCATGCAATCCTCAAATTAGAGTAAAAAATTCAAATTAACGGGTAAGGTGAAACGTCCATTTCTGCAAGGTAAGATATATTAAATCGATTTTCCATAGGATCCGAAGATATCAACTATTATAATTTTTATTTTGTAGGAAATTATTGGAACCATACATTTTAGAATCGATCACAAGTATCACAAAAATAATAAAAATACCCATAAAAATTATAAATAATAATATAATATGAGTTTTTTTTCCCCGGTTCCATAAACAATTCTTAAATTTTTTTTTTGTATTTTTGGCCGATCCGTCCCAGCCAGGCATCATACAAATTTCCCCATTCATAGAGCTGGCCCAAAAATAGTTAGGGCCGTAAGGAAAATTTTTAAATGGGACTTTAAATTATTTTTTAGATGAATAATTTATTTATTTTTATTTTCATATTTTAAATATTTAAATTTATATATTTTAGTAGGAATATACATTTGAAGTGAAAAGCAACTTACAAAATAAACACATTATGTAACTGATTATATTAAAATCAACTTAACTCAAAAATTATAGTTCCAGAAAATAAAATTAAATAAATAAGTCAAAGTTATTACAAATACATATAGAATAAGAACGTAAAATCTTGTAATTTTTTGTACAAAAATATAATGTGATCATTTTTTTTCCATTTTGAATAGACATATATTTATAATTTAAGGAATAACATTTTTAAAATATTTTAAATTTTTTCTTCAAAATATCTTAATTTTTTATTTTATTAAAATTTATTAATATAATTTTAAGAAATATATGTAAATTCCCTAGTCAAGTGATAGCCCTAGGCGACCTCCTCACTTGCCTACGGGGTAAAGGCGGCACTTTCCATACATCAACCACAGAAAGGATGGGATAAGATGTCACAGGATCACATTGACTTCAATCATTGAACTTTATAATGGTTTAAAAACGCTATCTAGGTGCAGATATAATGGTTTAATTTACTATGTGTTGACGTTTTGGGTGGCCATCCAAATCTCAGTGCTAACGCTTACTTTGGCTTTCAATAATCAAATAGTTGATTCACCCACTTGTTTCACCCCACCCAAAAACATCACTTTTTATTTCGTCGGTTTGATAAGTAAATTAAACCAAAAGGAATTGGTAACTTACCCAGTACAGGCTTAAGATTGTTTGACTTAAAAAAAAAAAGATTAGAGATGTTTAGTCCCTAAACATCTCTAATTTAGTGGTAAGAGGTTGCACTTGATTTGACTAATTAATCTTCTTTTCATAAGCAATGCCTATTGTACTGCATCATTGAGTGTCTTACACTTAAAATTTTGCAAATAACAATAGCAACACAACCAACTAATCGTAATACTATAAGGTTTTTTTTTTTCAATTACCAAACAGTGCATATTAGGATACCAAATGGACTGCACAATGACACATTCGACATAATATAGCAAAGTAAAACCAATTTTATTCAAA